TATAAATATATTTACATATGTACATTCCTGTATTTAGACCTCTATAAATGCCCATTTGTCTCCTAGATCTTTCCTCTATTTACTTTTGTCACACTATCACTTTCGGCTTTCATTTGGGTTTCAGTAATTCCTCTCTGTTACACTGCCCTTGATCAAGCCCTACCAGGCATCCTATGCCCTCCTCGCTATCAATCAGGCTGTTACTTTTAAATGGAGTAATAGTCCCATCTTTTTCCTGTAGAGCTATGCCACCAGGCCTCCCCTTAAAATAGAAATTCTGGGTTAGTCATTCTATATTCACAATAAAAACAATACAACTAATGGCATATTGGGCATTAACTACATCATAAAAACGTAGACCTGCATATAATCTCTATAACACTACTGAATAAATGTAGAATAAAGATTCTAGTTGATCTCATTTCCTCTTGTAAGAATGTTAGCAATCTATTTCATACTGTTGCTCAGATATACTCCAGTGCAGTATTTCAAAAGAGAGTAAATGAGATTGAGTTATGCCAGTGAGTTTTATCAGTTGTTTTTTGAAAAAAATTTTAATCAATAGCAGGGCAACTGATAATAGTCACTCATGATGAAGACTAAGGTAGAGAGAACAAGATCATTCTAGCATCTTTAACAATGCTCTGTACCCAGAGTGCTAACAAATTACATGACAAAGTCTCTTAGGCTTATTTTGGTCCTGATTGTTAAATATTCTAAGAATTTATTTAGCAACAAGAATTAATGAATTTCAATGGTACAATTTGAGGTAAAAACAATAAATGTTTTTAAATCTTAAAGTTATAAAATAATTTTGTACTCAAAGTTCAAATATGAAGATGAACATTTAATAGTAGCATTCATTATGTATACAGTACCCCAATATAAAGCAGTCTACTTGATCAGAAGGTAAATATGAAGAATCTGTGTATTTCTACTATAAAGTGGGGAAACGGCTGACAAGGCCATTTAAATCAAATGCACTGAGAATTCACCAGTAACAATTAGATTAACAGTTTTCAGATATCTTAAGGTAAAGATGAGTGAATGTGTCTTAAATGATGCAGGTGAATGAAGATCAGACAATTCATCTCACATAAGGAAAATTTACATAATGACTTAGTAACAGCAAGGCAGACTGCTTTGATATAAAATTAAATTCTTCACTGGAAGTATTTGAATGGAAACTAAATATTCTTCCCTTAGTAATGCTAGAAGATATATATATATATATATATTTAAATTAATAAATCATTTTACTGGGCGGCCCTTACAGCTCTAATTGTATATACACGATAGTCTTGAAAGAAAAGCTTCTGCGTTCTTTTGCAATTGATTTCTTGACAGGACAATTTCTTCAGAGAATCTGACCACATAACAGAGTAAAAAAAAAAAAATTCCAGGGCACAAGGAAGATATGTTAGCCCCTGCCCCGAATCTAATTATAGTAGATAATCAGCAATTTCTGCAATGAAGTTTTACCAAGTACACATACTCTCAAGATGAGGCAGAATAAAACCAAAAAGATTAAAACAAACAAACAAACAAACAAGATGGTTCAAAAGTTGGCAGCCTATACACAGCTACAATGTATATGACAGAATCAAAATTAAAAATGCTACTATTCCAAGCTGGCAGCAATGCACAACTCCATTAACTGTACCTTGGCCTTTTAATTGCTTCTACTGGCTTAGGAGCTTGAATGATGCGTTCCTGAAATTTCGGCTTCAATTCAGATAGTTCCTTCTTCTCGGTAGTCTTGACTTCAGGTTTGACTGGCTCGGGTGGCTTCTCACTATTATGCCTGCCTTTTGTACAGCCCTGTTAATGAAAAGTATTCATCGTGGGTTATTTTAACATGTATTTTGCATGTCAGGATAGAAATAATTACTTTCCCAAAATTTCTTGATACATTCTATTTATTTTTCCACTTTTATCATACTACCTACTTATTTCACAAACTAAAAATGACTCCAAATTTGCTATAGACTAAGGTGACCAGATTTAAAGCAGGACACCATTGACCGGGAGCGGGGGTGGGGGGGTGTCTTGATTAAAAATTTGGTCTATATGGACCAAATAGATCGCTCCCTAGCTTGTAGTGCATTCTTTCCAAAAATCGGAATGTCCCGCCAAAAGTAGACCTACTGCTCACTTATCAACATAAGTAGGTTCCAAAGACCAGATCATTATGTGAAAATTAGTATTATACAAAAAAGGATAACGGCATCACCTCACCCCCTTTTATATATGTGAATGTCTTTCCAGGCAGGTCCCGGTGAAAGTCACCAGTTGCCTTCCCCTGCTCCATGCCACTTCAGATGAACTCTGGTTCAATCCTTACCCACAGGGAAGGGTCAGCCAGTCTTCCAAGACAGAGTGACCCAAGTGGCAGTCTCCTTACACTTCTCATGCCCTTACTATATTGTCAGGATGAGTAGCCCTGGCTCACTCCCTTAATAATCCCCATAATACCTTTTGTTTGGAGCAAGAGGTTCCCTGTGCAGGGGTAGGAGGGCATGAGTGCTGCAGTGGTGGTAGTACACATAGCTACTGCATCCCTCTGCTGGCCTCTCATCCAAGAATCCCAGGGGCCTTGCTCGGCACTCCTGCCCACACTAGCTCCATCAGAATCAAGCATCCAGAGCTTCCACTGAGGCCACGATAGCCAGGCCAAGGGTTTGTCCCTAATCTTGAGCTATAGTTGCTGCCCATCACTCATCCACTGCTTCCAGTATCATCTAGGTATCCTGTTCTGCTCTTACCTATGCTCATTCAAGAAGATAAACTGAGGCCGGGGCAGTACAGGTGCCAATCAGCTGACATGGGTCACAGACACTCATGTGCATTATCTCAGGGCTCCTTCTGATCATGTGCTAGCCTGCACGTCCCTGCTACTTCTTGGTGCTAGGAGTAAGGGACAGATACTGAAATCCTGTTTGTTCCCTGGCTCTCAAGGAAGCAACCTTCAGGATACTATTGCCACTGCCCCAGCCGCACCTCCGTGGCTCCCAGAACCTGCTCAGTTTTGTTTATCCTCACTGGATCCATTCAACCTAGTACCTGAGGGAGACTGTGGCCCCTCTCTACTCTCTTGGGTGGTGGGATACTTACTATACAACCAGAGATTTCTTTCTACATGCACATAGGTCTGCCAGTCAGGGACTCCATCAGGGACCTCAACATTCCTAGTTATGTACCAATAATATACAAAAATAGTCATGTTTGTTCACTATTGAAATAAATACAAAATGTTGGATAAGATGTTAAGTTAAAGAATGGATGTTTTTATAAGTTAATTCTTACATATAGGAGCCCTGATGGCATAGTATTACTCTTTAGGTGGCTAAACACAAGGACAGCAGTTTGAAACCACCAGTCACTCCATGGTAGAAAGATGAGGTTTTCTACTCCTGTAGAGCAACCCAAAGGGGTAGTCCTACCCTGCACTATAGGATCAATATGAGTTGGAATCAATTTGAAGGCAGGGAGTGTGTGTTAAATAAAAACACCCTTAGCCTTTAAATTTTACTTTGTAAATAAGTAACCTGTTCAGCACCACAGTAGTTAAGTAAAGCTTCAATGACAGATAGGTGTTGGCAGTGCATGATCTGTACTGGCTGGGAATCAAAAATAGGTTTTCTATAAAGAAAGCTGGGGGCAGTTCAGGGGAGAACTCCATAAAAGAGAATTCACAAAGGAACTGCACAAATTATTCATGCACAGAAAGTATTTCATTTAAAAAAATGGAGTTCCCTTACTAACTAGCTACCTAACTTGGAGTAAGTTAGCTATGTTTTAAAACATTTCAGCTTCCTGATTTAAAATGAAGAAAATGGTACTTTTATATTTGGAGAGGAAAAAAATCAAATACCACACTGTACCTGGTTCATCTGGTAGGTAATAATTCTCAAATCCTAGCTCCTCTTACTCACATTCCATGGAGTCATATATACATTTTAACATTAGTGAAATGATACATTCAATGACTTATCAGCTTATTAAAAGCTTGTTTGTCTCTTTCTGTTGTGCATAAAATGATGCACCTATAGCATTTTTCAAATTCCACGCAAAATGTATTGCTCTTAACCAATCACAGCTTTCTTTTTGATATTCTTAAGGATCACTAAACTTGACTAGTAGTAAAACTTAAAAGTTTTAATCCCTAAAACAGTCAGACAGTCTTATTTCTAGAAGACAACATGAGTTTCATTTTAAAAGAAAGAGCAAGTTAGTAGACTAGGTAACAGATCTAGAAATTAGATGAATCAAATATAGAGCTCTTTAAAACATACACTTTTGGGGAAATAGATTTTTAAAAGTGATACTTACTACAATGCTCAAGAAATCAGAAAAATCTGTCGTTCTTCTCTTACAGCAAGACCACCCCTATGAAAGAGGGGAAAAAGAGAAAGCCATTGTTTTGAAGGAATCACTTTCTCTCATAATACCATTACTATTATCATCACCATTTATCTCATTAATTCCAACATCATTTGGACATGAAAGGACTTCAAAAATTCACGGAAAAAAAGGATTGAAAAGATACCAATAAAAAAAAATCATTTTATTGGGAGCTCACAATCCATCCATACATTCATTGGGTCAAGCACATTTCTACATCTTTTCCCATCATCATTCTCAAAACATTTTCTTTCTATTTGAGCCCTTGGTATCAGCTCATTTTCCTCCTCTCCCAACCCTTGATAATTTATAAATTATTATTATTTTGTTATGTTTTACACTGTCCATCGCCTCCCTTCACCCACTTTTCTGCTGTCCATCCCCCAGGGAAGGGGTTGTTATATGGAGAGCCTTGTGATCAGTTCCCACTTTCTACCCCATCTTCCTTCCACCC